GATATTTTATTCTTTCAAAATAAACTAAAGCTAACAAAAATCAAAACTTATCCAGTGCCTGTTTGAAGTTTTATGCAAAGCATCAAACAATCTTCTTTGGATTGATTGATATGTCCATACAGTTATGTAGTAACATTTTGCATAACATTGCTAGTAACATATATATGAAGAAAGTTCTGTTCAAAATTAATCATCTAACTTTTCAAAATGAAATAAAAAGAGTGCACAAAAAAAAATCTACAAAAATTCAAGATGAACTGGTAAGAGGAAAGCCAGAGGATATGTAAAAACAAACAAAAAAAAGTTAAGAAGCAAAGAAAAAAATGTTGCACTGTATACTTTCATGCTAGGTCTTGGAATCTGATACTGTACCATTCATTCTACTGGTTGATTGAGTTAATGTGATCATACAGTCAACTCTCATTATGGTGGACATCCTACAAACTATCACTTGGTGTCCATAATAGTTAGCTTCCACAATGGCAAGAATAGAAAGATGTCCATAAAATCAGGGTGTCCACAAAGCTAGAAGTTGACTTTGCAGTCTTTCAAATATTGTAGTTTTGAGTAATGCACTCTTGTTTGACTGCTCAGAATATTTGCTTCATTGCCTTATCTTTCGGGTTTCCACTTTTAACTCAAGTTGAAGTTATATAAATGAGAATGCGTATTACCTAACTGACAAGGTAGAAGGTTCGTCATTTTTATTGTACTGTCTCAATGCAATAGTATGATGGATGATCAGTTGTTATCAGGATTAAACACAAGATTAATACGTCCAAAACAAACCAGAATGATTTGACAGCTTTTGTAAACTTCTAAAAGATGAGCTTACTAAAAGATCCAGGTACGTAGATAAAGATTTTAATGCTCCACTTCAAATAATGGTTTCTTTGTATTATTAGTTATCTTTTTTCTTTGCTAGGCATGTTGGCAGTATTAAAAACAGTCTTGCACCTGATACTGTACACTAAGATCCATTATCATATTATAGAAACACCTTCAAACACCACCTAAAAACTATTGTTCTCCTACCTACCTATGTTTGCTCTTACTTGCTTATTTGCACCACATTGAGTAATGTAAAATCAGACTTGCTTTTGTAAGGTCTCTGTAAACCTTTATGCATGTGAAAAGACCAAAATGTTTATGACCAGCTTGCAAATTGCTACTTTGTTTCTGAATTTAATAACATTGTTATGCCTTTTGCATTGCCATGCATCGTTTTAGTTCTTCATTACAAAAAACTTTTGTTGACTAAAAAAGACCAACTTTCTGAACTTTTAATGTTTTTCCACAACAGGATCTTCCTTTACAATGAACACAGCTGATGTAACAAATAAATTAGGATTGCACGACAGATGAGATAGAAACTGGTATATCCAGACTACACGTGCTACGAGTGGAGATGGTCTTTATGAAGGATTAGACTGGTTATCTAACGAGCTAAAGAAAAGATAAACCCAGTCATGCTGATAATTAAACCTCTGTACTTTTAGACACTAAGCACTGCAATAATTAATATTAAGGTAAAAATGCTTACAGATAAAACGGCAAGTAGGTGCACCATTGCTTTAGTACATGTAAGTCATGTTTTTATACATGAAGCATTCAAATCATTGTTTTTCTATGATCATTGTTGGTCTAAACTATCCTTTACTGCAGACTTATTTTCAACATATTGTAATTTTTGTTTGATTATTTTGATTTCTGTAGGATTTTAAATATGTAAATCTAGAATTATAACGTTATAACATAGTCACAACATATTGATTGGTTAATTAGATAGCATGAGCATGCATCCAAAACTCAATGGTGATGTGATTTAGTAGCACAGCTTATGATAAAGATTTATTTTCAATTAACAAAGCTAAGTCATACTCTAGAAGCATTGGTAATATTGCTTTGGGTGCTTCCATTAATTTTTGGGTGCATGCTGAAGGATGTTTAAGCACTTAATTAAGAAGCTAGAGTCGCATAAGGCACTCTAATGCTTCTATTGTGCTTAACCACCTGCATGCATCCAAAATTCGATAGAAGCACACTCAGTATGTCTTAATAAATTTTCTATGAAATTTGAAAACCAAGTTATGGATTTTTCTCATAACAAAATGAAGGTTAGCACAAGTGGTTTGTGGTCAACTGATGGCTTTAGTACATGTGGTTTAAAAAATATTGTCCTACCTTCTTCCAAAGACCTGTATTACCAATAGTTTGTAGCTCAAAGACATGTTTTTATCTGCATTTACTCTAGTCAACCTATTTGGTTTTAGACTTCAAACGCAGTATCTAGTGAAGGTTAAGCAAGCATAACTATATGCTAAAATATTATTTCTGAATGTTGATTTATTACATTTAAACCTTTTAAGACTCTAAAGAAAGTTAATAGATAAGATTGAGTGATTTAAAAAAAGCATCTTAAACTTATTTTTTTAAATAAAATTGGCTAAAATATTTCTAATTAAAAAAAATGAATTGATACTTTGCATTGAAGTGTGACAGGCACTGAAAATAAGATTAGGTGCTATTTAATTTAAAACCAAGGGTTGTACATGAAGCCAATGTTTTTGCTCTGATTGGACAATTTGCAACACATTCCAATACATTTCCTTGCTGCATAACCTTGCAATAATTTACTAAACATCTCAGTGGAGTCTTGAATGTTTTGAAATATACTTTTGGTTTAGTCCCTAATGTTTCCAAAGCATCAACCATTAGAATGATTGAATGTGATTGGGTGGTTTGTACCCTGTGCAATACATCCACCCAATCATTGGTTAGAAAATAAATATTTCTATGGTAGTGCTGCTGCCTTGTAAACATTGGTGTTAGCTGTTGAGAACGATGGTATATGAAAAATGTTTAGCCTTGCCAAACTCAACTGAGATGTGCAAAGGCAAATAGTAAAACTTTGATTGTGACTTGACTGCAGTTTAGAAATTGGAATATCGTAAAGCACTTGAAAAATGGGGGAAAACTCTTGTGCTTTATATGTTGCAATTTTTACTTTTTTAAATTTACTGTAAGTAGATTGTAAATTGGGAAATGTGATGGAATTCTTTCAAGATAATTACAGTAATTTAAACATATTATTTTTAAGGATTTACCAAATGCAATGAATGCAGCTGAAGTTACTGACAAACTTGGACTTCACAATTCAAGAAATACAAAATGGTACATTCAAGCCACATGTGCTACAAGTGGTGATGGTCTGTACGAAGGACTGGACTGGCTTTCAACCACACTAAAGAGCAAAAAATAAGCATGTAGCCTTGAACAATTATTCCCATTCGGACAATCATATTTTTGGTTTGTTATAAGAAAAGGTGTTTAAAAAAACAATTGAAATGTAATCTTGAATATATAGTTCCTACATGAAATATGCCCTCATATTTTGGTGTACATTTTCCGAGAAAAAATCAAGTATTGCATTTTATTGACATTAGCATCAAGCCTTCTTTGCAAAAAGTCTCAGGTAGTTTAGTAGGGCTCCAAGCATTCATATGTGAATTAATGACAATGACAGTAATATACAGTATGCAGTAGAAAATAATTTTATTGTAAACAGAATGTTTTCGTAGTAGCTTATTGTTAGCGTTTCATAATGTCACGCCAATTCCCTGTTGACAAACAGTTATAGATTGTAGGGTGCACATATATTCATGAAAAAGTATTCACTATTAAAAATGTGTTTTGTTAATATCAATGAAATTTATAGTACAATTAGTCTAGTAGGTCAGCTCGAGTATAAAGGCTTTGCACCATCATGTGATGGCACCCATGACAGGAGGCAGGAAAAATTGAATCTGGTCTAATTTGGTCTAATGAGGGGGAAAAGACTCCTGTCATGGCTGTGCAAAGCCTCTATTGGCTAGGGCACAACAAACATATAGCATACTATTGTCTGTTTTGCCTTGTTTAACATTTCAAGATGCATTTCACATCCTTTGATAAAAATGATTTTTCATTTGTTTCATGGATATAATGTGTTGACTCGAGTCTAGAACTGGTTATAGCTTTTAAATGTACTACTGAAAATGATTTGTATAAATGGAAATTTGAAGCATAATGGTAAGCAAATTGAAAGTAATTTAGAATTTAATTGTTTTGCATGCCCAGTGTATAGCTTTCTGCTCAAACCACTCTACACTTTTTCATTGTATTTGTTAAATAAACCAGAATTTGAATAAAAACACTGTAGCCTTTCTTGTTGTCCTTGTAAGACAAAGGTGCCTACCCTCCGATGAACACTTAGCCTTAGATCAGACAAGAGTTAGACACTGGTAGAGTGCAAACAACATAACTGTGAAACTTTAGTAATACTAAATAGCACAATTTCATGCAAATTCCATTGTTTTCTATTGTTTAATTAGCACAATTTTGTACTAGTTAGTAATTAGTGTTTCACGGATTAATTGTTTGCACTCTATTATACTGTTTTACCTGTTACTCAAAACATATTAGTTGGTAGCAGGGTTGCTACTTTCAACATAGAAAGGTCCAGGAAACCCTAAAAAGCAGGACTTTCAGTCTTGACTAAATATCAATTCTTAGGGTAGAACAAAACAAAATTTTTATGTTTCCTTTTTTTAAAAGAATAGACCTTTCTCATGCGGATTGTTTTGTCCATCCAGTTGCTTCAGAATGAGACTATGATGAAGGTTTCTTCCTAACATAAGGGGTGGCCAAGGCCACTTTGATCCTCCTTTAAATACAACCTTAGTCTATTAGTTTAGTTTGCTATGTTTTTCTGACACACGCATCTTTGTGCTGATGGTTAACTTGAAAGCTATGCTTTGGTCCTTTATCTGAAACTGTTCATGCCGTTTGTCCAATTTTTTGTTCATAATGATTTGTTTCACATATCCTCAATTGCAAATATTAACAAATAATTCGTGTGAATAAAACAAATTATTTGTTCAAAATATATCCTTCCCTTTTTATGTGTTGTGTGAGTGAGTTGCTGGTAATTCTTTTTGATTTGTTTCACATATCCTCAATTGCAAATATTAACAAATAATTCGTGTGAATAAAACAAATTATTTGTTCAAAATATATCCTTCCCTTTTTATGTGTTGTGTGAGTGAGTTGCTGGTAATTCTTTTTGGATATTAACTGTATGACCCCTTTCTTTAGGATTTACCCAACGCAATGAATGCAGCTGAAGTTACTGACAAACTTGGATTACACTCCAGAAGAGATAGGAAATGGTACATACAAGCCACATGTGCCACAAGCGGCGATGGCCTGTACGAGGGCCTTGACTGGCTTTCAAACACGCTAAAAAATGCCAATTAAATCTGCAGTCTGTAAAATATCCTCCCCAAAGACAAGCACCATCAGCTTGTCATATAAAAATATGGTCAAAAAATGTAATCTTGAAAAACAAACTTCCATTTTCTGGAAAAGTGTTTCACTATGAACAGCTGATTTACTGTTAGGTTTGATGTGTGTAAATTGAGGAAGGGGTTATGTAAAGTACATCATCAGCTGCTACATAGAGTTTACACGGTGGTGGTTTACGATAGATTGGTACACCACCATCAACAATTCTTACCTCTCAAATAAGTGTTCTTTGTTCGTTTAGATTGCCATTCCTATTCTCAATGATCTTTTTATATCATCAATGAAAAATTTAACTGACATTCTATTCTTAGTTATTGCTGTCTTTAGATTGGAGGAATGTTGCTTGGTCATCATTACCCGCCAAGCAAGGCTTGTTAAGACTTCCACAAATCTTACTATTTGTTTTGTGAATAGGGATTTTGACCAGACCAACAGGCCGGGCTGAAACTTTTGTAATTATAATGTTGGATTTCGTAGATGAGAAAAAGGCAATAAAAGCTAATGTGATTAAAGTGGCATTCACAATTTCATTACTAAATAATAGTCTCTAACCTATTTTTTCCGGTGCAAATCAAAAATGCAATTGCCCTAATTCACTATGACGTCACATCAAAACAATCTTCAACAATCTATTGTTTAAACGCAAAGGATCATGTCGTCGGACGTGGTCAAATCAACGCAAATTCACCGAAAATTGTTCTAAAACCCGTATCAAAACACGAAGAGAAGTAGAATAGCCAGCAAACGCTCAGAATAGTTTTTAAGTACATATTAACACATATTATACCTGGAAACTAGGCCATTTTAGATTAAAGTGCA